TCTTTACACATACCCACAAGAAGAGGATAAAAGATATGCACATTAAAAATTTGTGTGTTGAGGATTTAATAAGTCACGGTCCTAGGACCTCTCATGAAATCCAAATTAAGAAATTTTGCATATAACTTAATTGTTCCCGCGTATATACAGTTGAAATAAATGCTTTCGAGGTATTATGTATTCACTATTTACTGTGGACCGAAGTCACATTGAAGACATAATTAAAGTAACTTAAACATCAATGGAACATTGCACAAACAGCCAGAAAGCATTGATCAAAACAAAAGAACAAATACGTTCACACTAAGACAGCACCCCATTGAACTGTGCATCATGTCAATAAACATCATATTCGTAAATTGGATTATTAAAGATCGAAATTATATGAAGTGGCTGACCGTCAGTCAAAATAGACTTGTTGGTGATGAATTGTTCATGATACCAGAAATTTATACGGGATTTAAGGAGCTATTGGAGTTTAATCTGAACGTAATAAAAGAATTTTGTTAGAACTTTTATCGATCAAATTTTGATTTCTTATTTTTTCCCCGGGTCGTAAATCCGCATTGAACCAATTTGCCGCCTAGTTTGGGCAGTTGCTTACTATATGACACTTAGGCTAAGCATGTTTCTTATCAGCAGTGGCAAAGCTAGAGGGTCTAGTCAATGTTGCATTAACCTAAGTCCCTACAGTTAACTCAAACTAAAAAAAGTCTAGGATAGTTGAGTTAGCAGTAAAAGATTCATCGTATGGACAGTGAGCAGTCGGTGTTCTGCTGGGGCTGGGAGAAAAACGCCCAAAAGTGAAGGAGTTTTTAACTCAAAAAACCTATCAAGCAGTCGGGAGCAATATGCTTCCTTGAACGACGCAGACAACTGCAAGCACTGCATACCCAGGGACAAAATATAAACACGCTTGCAACGACCTTCGTTTTGTAGGCTTCCTACCAATGAGCACTGAGGGCTCTTTTCGTACTCTGTGATCAAGAATAGGAGAGTGCATACAATTATTTTTAAATCCATTCCGCGCGTAGATGCTACGAAATGGTGATTGTCTCGCTTTCCTGGATCATTGTTACCATGCCTATGCTCTTTTATATTGATCCGTATTAACTGATCTTGATGAGCATCTACCATTGAGGTATTAATCCTGGTTTTCCCTTCTATAAATTATAAACGCTGAAAATTATGGTTCTATGGTCTGATAAGCCATATCCGGCAGATTCTTGGAACACATATTATTTATATGAAAAGTAATTATTAGAGGCCATTGATGGAAATCAATTAAATCGGACGAAAATAAATCCAATGAACACTAAAGAGTAAGGGCAAAAAATATGCTGAGTGCAAATCAGTATTCCACAGAATCTTACTTATTTAAAACGTTGGCTTAATTTTTACAATATTTAAGTAAAGAGCTGCGAAACTAATTCGAATTTAAATGTTTTGGAAGCATATATGATCTTAAGTAAACAAAGGTGGCATAGCGTTAGATGTTAACTTAACTTACAATAACATAAACCAACACTTTTATTTCACAAATTAAATTAATTGGTCCCCAAGACATTTAGTTGCCTTGGCACCTACAAATTCCTCAAATAGCCACTCATCATTCTTATTGGTATGTGAATTCATGCTGCTTTTGACATCTTGACAACGAAAAAACTGCCATCTCTCCGACAGTGCTCTGACGTCAAATAGCAGTTATTTGAAGAAAAGTTCTTTGTTAAACTAATACAAATGTCATGATATAACAACATGTCTGGTCTGTAGCAGCCTAATAGTTGACAGTAGGCGCTAAGATCATGGCTATAGGGAACAGATTTGTACTGCTACTGCCACAAGGAGAAAGAACGACAAAAAACATTGTGCCATGGGAATTCCATCTCATATAGTTACTACTAAGGCAAATGCATTACACGACCATAATGAATCTTCCGCTAATATGCACAAGTTATGGAAGCAGTATAATGGTGAAGATAACAAGGGTAATTAGTACATATCCACCTCAATTTCCACTTCCAATTATATTATGATGTAATAGAAAGATCAAATAAAAATGCGCTTAAATTTCGCTTTCATTTCAATTAGAGTGCAATTCGCAATGCTTAAACTATATCGATTATGGAAATTGTTTAAATATTTATCACTTACCATTCGTAAGAGTTTGAAAAAAGACTACTAGGACGACGACAAACGCAGGTCTAGGTATCAGCGTCCATGATTTGTTCCAACAGATAACCATCATCTCGCCAATCAATTCCATCAGCATGCTATGTACATCAGTCCTGACAACTTGACAGTTAGTCAAAATGAAATCATCTAATTTTTCAGCCAGTGAGGTTAACCTTCAAACTTAAGTCATATGGAAGAAACCTGAATTCAAATGAAGTACTTTGCCAAATTATAATTAAATATCTTAGATTGACAACACTGAGGTTTCCTCTATTTTTTCGTGCTTGAAACAACTACAGCTTAGTGATATCATAGCAACAGAAAGCGGCCTTTTAACACTGCGTACAAAACATTCTTTTAAATCACATCAATAACAAAGTTGTTTAAAGTCTTCCTAGGTAGGGTTCACCCTTTGCAAATATTCGAATTAGGCCCGCGAACAAACATTAGAGTTTGATCACTAATGTCATTTGCTCTAATAATAATAATTATCCTATAAAATAGCTCCCAAGTATTGATTGATTTCGATTTTAATTCTGTTGAACCAGATTAGGCAGCAATCAATCATTAACTGACAACAGCATTCCGCGCGGGAGGTCCAAGCAAGACTATAGAAGCCAGCAAATTTCAATCACCACACAAAAGGGCCAAGATTTAGTGGGCTGAGGTCACATGAGCTCGTTTCTTAGATGGAAAAAAACGAAATACTGATTATTTCAGCGTCTAAAGTTACCTCACTTTCGAAGTGTATCCCAATCAACAGATTGATAAGGGCCGAGAGATGCCACCAAATTTAGGGCCATTAACTCTATAACTGTTGAAAAATAGAAATTAGCTTTCCACTTTCAACATTGTGAAAACGTTGGTTAGAGCGTCAATTTTTCTTCTGACTTACTCGTTAGACATTGAGTTGCTCATAGCTGCTTTGTGAAAATCTGTTACTCTGCATTACGAAATCAGCATAGGAAGGTTCTTACATGTCCATTATGACTAACTTGTGGAATAATTTCGTCACTAAGACCTGAAAAAATCCAATTTGTGGTTGCCAAATAACTGATTTCTAGATGGGAACTTCTAAATATCTATTCTATTCGCGTATCCTAGATTGCTGTTGTTTAAAAACGAAATCAGTTTATTTTATTTACTGACGTCTCTGAGACCTTTTCATAATCAATTAGATAACTTTTGACTTTAATGGATGTGGTATATCAATGCACAATTATTTTACTACCAAATTTAAATAAGTCACATTCGAGTGATTTTGTCTATCAAGAGTAAGGGGATCAACTGAAATCAGAAAATGGTATTAGGACATTAGAAGAGTGTTTGAGAATATGAAACTAGGATTAATTCCCTCTCTTCTGCTATCCCTTAATTGGTAATCTGATTGGAGGCGGTAATTTTATTAAGGCTCCCAATTAAAAGGTGAGAACACGAAATTGGACGAGATCCCCGCCCCCCTCCCCCTCCCCCTCCACCATCTACCCTACCCTTCGTTATTCCAGCAGTCTTATGGTAGGCGTAAGTTCCAAACCGTCATAATCACAACTATTTAATTTCTTCCACAGGTCAGTTTTTTCTAGTGTTTTTATACGATCGCGTAGGAAATATAAAAATGAATATTTTTTAACTGAATGTTTATATTTCGCGTCTGTGTTCTGCCATCGAATGTGTCTTAGGTAGCGAATTAGAGATAAGTTCAAGTATCCCCACCGTACAAGCAAAAGAGAACAATTGATTTGGTAAGTAACTCAAGAGACCATTTCATAAGGCTCTATTTACCACATTGGATATACATGGATAGCACAATTGGGCCAACTATTAGACAAGAACTCGTGGAAGGAGGAACCGTCGACCTCTGGATGAAGGCAAGGAAGTTAACCGGTGAGCTCCTGAAGACAGTTATTTCGATGTCGACTCATATATGCTTGGTATATCGAATAAACCAAAGTTTGAATAAGAGCTTTCAAGTCTAAATGCGCTAACTAAAAGAAGTAAAAGCCATTTTTATTTATTTTTCTTGTTTGTACGTGAATGTAAATTGGTTTGGCTATAAATAATTGACTACGTAATTTTAATAAGCTCATTCCTAAATTTAATGAAACGCCAACTGCGCGGCAACTCAGCGAATTAATCAAGAACATATATTTTAAAAAGGGTTTAAGAGAAATGAAAAACGGATCGAAAATCGATCTCCTAAAATATTTCCTAAATATCAAGATTCCCAACTTTCATTAAAATATGACTTTAATTTATTAATGTATAGTAATAATAACCTTAGGTAAGTAGCACCACCTTCTATTAAATAAAGCTAAATAATAAGCAATTGATTGGATTTTGGTTTTAGTGCAATTGAAAATGTCCAAATAGAAACTTTCGCGCCAGTCAAAGCCTACAAATTCACTTTCAAATAGCAATAGATACTCCACGTGGGTTGGCACTTTAGGGCAATAAGTTTGTATAATCACACATAAACTAAATAATACTATGATAAATGTCATCAATTTGCCAAATATTTTGAATAAATTATATCCTTAAGGAAAAAGTCAAACTTAAATACGAAAAAGTAGAGAACATGACATCTAACATCAGCAAACCCTGGCTTTTGTGTTGCTCTCTCATTGGTTGACATGCGTAAAATCAGGGAGCCAATGAAGTGTGACATTGGAGGACAACCAACGCATACATGCCAAGAATTCTGCGTATTCGAGAGCGCACACGGTTTCTCTTTGGTGCTTCATTACTGTTCTCCTTTACTCATCCCCTCCACATCATTACTGCCTCAAATTATGCCTAATTAACACCAGCACCCACTTTACAACAGAATGATATCAGAAGGAGGACACTATGTGGATGGATCTTGGCTGCTCTGCATCCGAGTAGATTCGCTTAATGTTGATCGTCGAGTACGAGTCAAAGGCGACTGGTCTATTGGACGAGTTCTCGTTGGCCTCACTGAGGGACTGCCCCACCCACCCAAACTCACCTGTGATGCGTCTGATATATCACTTTCTCCTGGATTAATAAGTTCCGGATGGTCGGATTTCGCCCTCTGGTGGCCAGCAAAGAACAGGTGGATTTTACAAACTCATGCTAGCCTAGACCAGCATGGATTACAAGCAGATGCTAAGCTCCATTTCATTCGAGTTCATGGACGATTAAGAGTTCAACTACCTGATCTACAAACACGGGTATTCTGTGATGTGAATTTCACGGAACCTGTATTCAGAGTTGTGATCCTTATATGTAAGTATTTTGGAATAACTCATCCAGAAGAATTATCTCTTCAATACCCCGAATCTGATCTATGTTCACACGGCAAATTGTCTTTTATGTGGGGAGAACATTGGAATACTCTTCCATCGCTAACAGCACGCAGGTCTTTCAAGAAATTGACAGTCTCCTCCCCTTCAAAATCAGAACTTCGACAAAAGCGACCTGTCAGTTGTGTCATGCCATCGTCTGCAGAGCATTCCGAAAAGCATCTTAGAACGGTTATTTCAAATAATAGTCACACAATGTCCCATAGGCCTCAAGTCTACGGTCCTCCTAGAGTGCGAAATCGTCCAATGAGCGGAACTACCTCCTCAGCACCGATACGACCAGAATCGATCTATCTCTCCCAGTCCTTGTATGGAATGCCTCTTAGCAAATTAGAAATATGTGATGACCCTAGCTTAATCTTTAGTCCTTCCGTCACTTTATCAGAAGCCCTTAATTCCGGAAGCATTTCTCGTTGTCGTGGATTTTTCTCTCGAGCTAGATTTTCAAGCGCTTGGCTTGATTTGGGTCGGTCGCTAATGGAACAGGGGATTTATCCAAAATCTCTCAATCTTGATGATATTTCCCTATCTTCGGAAGTTCTTGACGATAGCTACGAGAACATGGATGGCAAAGAGAATGGTATTAGTGAGACGATTTCATCCATTCCCTTATTGAGATTACGTTTCAAATACAATGTCTTTTATGAGTTGACCCTGAAAAGTAATGCAGTGAGGATTAATCAGTTATTTGAACAAGCACGGTGGTCGATCGTATCGGAAGCTGTTGAATGCACCAACGAGGAAGCTTCGTTATTCGCTGCCCTTCAATTACAGGTATGAATAATGCTTTAATTTATTTCCAGTACCCAAAGTAGTTTAGTGCCTCATTTGACTTTTTCCTCCTCTTACATGCCCAAAAAGTCAATATAGGGTTAAAACGTGAATAATACATACAGGTTTTGGCGTATTGTCCATGAGGAAAAAGCAAACCAGCGAGCGAATGCGTGTTATTTATGCCAACCTATCGTGAGCAAGATACAAGGTCAACGAATCATTCGTTGACGACCTTCGCTCATCCAATAAGCCCTGCGCTACTTAGATCTATTTAAAAAACTATTTTCTGCCTAATATATGACTTTCCCTAATGCAATGCCTCTTAAGACTCATAATTGTAAAATTGTTAGTACCTTTTGAATAAACAAGTGGAATTGAAATTAAGTTATTGCAAGCTCTAATTTGATTATAATACAATGTTCTGTTTCACTACTTCCAACACCTAGTGATTTCAACACCCTAATCATAACTAAAATTATTCATTAGCGTTTTTTTGCCAAAAATACCGGTTTTGGAAACATTCTTCAAAATCTCAACCGCTGTCCTCGCACTTTTTAATTTGGTGCGTGTGATGACGTTAAACTTTTGTATCTCGATATCACAATTACCATGCATGCAAGGCTTTTTGTTACTTGATACGTTTATCTAATTTCATATGCTTCCTATTTCGAACTTAAATGCATCGACTCCAAGACTCGCTTTTCCATTCAAGCAGGTGGGCTTCCGTTTGTTGAAGCCATTATTACATCTATAAATAGTCAATTGATTGAATGGGAAGATGTCAGCTGTCAATATTTGAATTTGAATTTACAAGAAGCAATAATTACAGTTAACTGTTTGGGAAAGGAAAGTAGTCTCCTTTGTTTCCTTTTGCGATCGATATCCTCCCCCCCCCCTAATCGTGCTGGTATCCTGGCAAGTGGGGGTTACTAACGCGAACTATCTTCTGGCTGGAACTTATCTATGAAGGCATCTTAATGGGTGGTTGAATTAGATTGGGCTTAAAGGATAAAAAACGCTTTTGTTTACTTTATTTCACTCTCACAACGAAGAGTATCTAAACACGAAGAACTGTAAAATAATTGAATATTGCTTAAACATTTTTTTTAAAAATTGTGGTTGCAGTCAATGGCTCCATGTTCTAATTATCTAATGTTCATGGTTTTGACATAGAAGAGCTTACTAATCCTCAATAGAGTGAATTGTATTTCCTTATTCGTCTAATTTAAATGCCAATTCTTATTTGAGACCATATTTAGAAGAACATATTCTTATAAAATATAGATTCCATAGATATTGGACGATGTTGCGTCTCAGATCGGTATAGCTGCAGAACATTTAGGTTTTTGTTACTGAAGAATGTGCATTTTCTACTATTTGAAACAACTAATTCCATTCAAATTGTACAAAGGTATTATTCTAGTTTATTACTTTAAAATTTGATGAATATAAAATTTTTTTCTCATTTAATTTTTTGAGAATATATGGAATTCCAATCACCTCGAAAGTGCTTCTATTTGAGTTTATTATACTGCAAGTCAAAATTGTGTCACGATTTTTCATTATGAAAAAATAACAGTTGAAACCAGTGAACAGAAAGCCCTTTAGGAGGTGTGGTTGGGTGAATAAAAATGTGGAGAGTACAGTCGAGGTGAGAAAGATTCTTCCTCTATGTCGATTTTGGGCTTAGGTTGTTCAATACTTGATGAATGATTTACTTTCAAATACACGAATGACAATTATACACAGCCAGATTACTGCGGGCATTCTTGTACACAATATTCCAGTCCTATTGACTCCTTTTCAATTTTCTCCACCAGGTTGAGAAATGGACATGATTTGACAGGGGGGGGGGAGTTGATGTACCTCAAATTTTAATCAAACACTTTCAAATAAATACTGTCACTATTAGGAACCCATATACTTGAAGCCAATGTTAGTTCGTTAGGGGTGACTCTAGAAGTAATGGCTTCGAAAATCTGGCTTTCACAAAACATGAAGTCCTTAGCAATGTGAAAATTACTTTGGGCTCTCGATTTCTTCAACAATTTCTGTCTTTCATGATCTTCCCTTGCCACGAAATCGCTTCAATTATTTTCACTCTTTCTACAGTTTATTCCGTTCCACGACCAGATCGAAAACGCCTTGAAATTAATCCATATAGTTAACCTTTGATTCGCCAGAATGATTAATTATTGGCTAAACCTGCGGCTCCTTAGCCCCAAATAGGCTCCACATTCTTACAAATTTGAATAGGCAAAGTTCCCTGATTTGGGTTAGCGGTTGTTTCATTTTCACCCCAATAACCGCAATATGTCTGAGTCACCCCTCCCAAAGTGGGTACGCTGATATTTTCGGCAATGGATCTGTTTGAAATATCACATCTCGGCTTAATCATCCCAACCATAACATGATTAACTTCGAATGTGGTAACTAAGAGGCATTAAGGGGGAATTCCAATAGGAGAAACAAGTTGCTACAAATGAATAAAATACGCAGCAAGAAAAGGAGTGATTTTTTGTAAGGTCATATTTTTTGTTTTCTTACGCGACAGAGTTGCATTTCCGCCTTCGCACGAAGCTTATGTGAAACATGAGTGAGCAATTTTGATGAAATTTTAATTTTGAATTATTGGGAAGAAAAAAATGTTCATTTAGCACTTACAGTTCTCCTGTCGTAATGTCAACAAGAAAATTTATGCCACAAATTGGTAAAAGTAGCTAAGTTAATAATTTAACTATAAATGGGCCGCCAGAATGTAAGCTAAATTAAAAAATGCCTTTGAGATTTAGTGTAAATAAAGACTAATTATCTATTTTACTGTGGGAATGGGGAAGATAAGGTCAATTTAATAGGACAGCTAGAATGAATTTGTGTAGATGTTCTCGTAAGACGGAGATTGCCAAGTGCCGTAGGAGGAAATAACAAGAATTTCATGCAAATTGGAATTAACATAGTTAATTTCTAGCAAGATAACCACTTTAATAATAAGTGCTATCCGTGCTAAATGTCTTCTTATTTCAATTATGAATCTCGAAGTAGACCAGTAGGAGATGTAACTAGTATAAGTACCCATAGAGATTAGAAGCATTATATGTGTAATCTGTTTCATTTTCTAATTTATTGTAAGCGATATAAATCAAATGACATTAACAAGATTTTCCCAAAGTCAATTTTATAATGTGATCCTTATTACCAAGTTGATTTACTTTGATGATGGCTATACCAATTGGTTATGAATGATGTATTTTTCGAATCTAAGGAGGGTAGCTAAATGGGCATTTTTACCATTGCATGTAATTCTGGAGCCTATTCGAAGTGAATACCCATTTCCCAGATTATATTCCACTTTATTTTGTGGTACTGAACATGTGCATTATATACGGTCTTGGAAAACTTTTGAAATTTTGCCTGATTCAAAGAAAGGTCAGCTTCTATCCTCTTTACATTCAACTAAAACTCCCACTGAATATATTCAAGCAAATGTTTTCTGCGTTTATGGTTTGTTGAGATGGTTTGGGGAGGGGAGGGGGAAGGAAGGGTGCAATCAGACAACAAAAGACACAGGCGTTTTTTCCCTAAACATCCCAAAACATCGTACCATTCAAATTTCAACTTTTTTAACTTAATCTAGTTTAATGAATCTCTAAGATTCTCCTTAATTAATGTATTCAAAACAATTTGATCTTACTGGCCAGTTTGAAATAAGGTCAAGATTTTTTGTGATAACCCTCAAAGACCAATGTCGCATTTATAAGTATAGTTGATAACGAAGATATAACGAAGAAGTGATAATATCTGAACTGGCAATTAATTCATTCCGGAAAGAGGCGATAAATAGTTAAATTATATTATTAAACATTGGACTAATCGCACAGGCAACAAAGTGTCTAAGTTTGATCCATACATCGCATTTTATAAAGTCATAACATATGAGGAAATTTTGTTGGCATGCTCTGCACTTTTAAATGAGCCAAGGTTATTCTCGAGGGCAGAGCATGTGATCTCAAGGCTAGAATTTTAAAAGTTATTTTTTTATGTGAAGCACACACGCTAATAAGTAGTTTTTATGCGATTGATTTCGTTATAAACAAATAAACTTTGCTCTCCATTTTCAAGGCAAATTTAAGTAGTGACGAAAATCGATGATTTCAAAGAAATAAGTCAAACGGTGGTTGGGAATTCACTGATAACTTTGGCTTCTTGGCACTCTTAAGTGGTTATTTCTTTCATTAACAAAGCCTCTAGTTCAATTGAATCAAATCAACTGATTGCTTTGAGAAATTTCCAAGCTTGATCAATTTTAATAAATACCTGATTCCTTTTGTTAAATTTATTCGCCATTAATTTTTTTGCTTAATAGCTACTTTAATCAAATTAAGATATAACTTTAGTATTATTCCTAATGTGAAGGATTGAAGGTCACTGTTTCTGCTTCTAAATTGAATGACGTCCGTTCATTTTGAGACTCTCTTCGAAGCCGCTTAAGCGATTTGTTAGCCTACCCTTAATCCATTATTACCCAATTAGCGGCAAACCGAATGGTCGACTAAACTGGCTAAGTATATCTAGTGGAGATTGTCAGAATTTGAGTATCTAACCGCGAGGTTCTAAAAATCTATCCAAGGTGAACGTGATGCTAATTTGACTTGGGATTTAAGAGATGTTAAATATTGCGCCTTAACAATTGTCTCAATTATATGTATGAAATTGAATTTAGCCTCGACTTATCCAGTTTAAGGAAATAGGATTAAACAAATCAAATGCATAATTCCAAATAAAAGACATGGAGATTAGTGGCGAGAGGAGAAGGGCAACGTGGATGTTGATAGCCAACTGTCACCTTTTTTTGAGTGACTGGCATTTTCAGACCTGGCTTTTAGAAGGGTGTGCTGGTAGTGGGTAAACGGAACAGGTACTGTTTTTAGAGCACCCAATGGGATTCCATCTAACAAAAGCAACATTTACTTACCATATTTTTACTAATTTTTAAAATAACAATCGAAATTTGTATTTAATTTTTAGATGCATTAGATTTTGCAATGTTTCAAGTTTTATCTTTTATTGATTGTTCTTAGAATATAATCATCCAGAAACGCAGATTTTGAGGTGCGATAAGAACAAATAATGGCCTCTAATAGTCAGCCTCCGTTCCTTGCTTCTTCGTTATACTGCCTCATGTGCCATTAGAAAGTCATTTCTTCTTTAAAAAAATTTTAAATTCTATTCTAAGGACTTTCTGTGACTTAATAGTAATGACTAATAATTTACAACTTAAATGAAGCTGTAGATACGTAGGCTGTCTCTATTAACTAAAAATATCTCACATCGATTTCACTTCGAGACCTGATTTGGTCAGCTTATTTTTTCACCCAAGTAACTTCATGTTGCATTAGTTCTTGATGAACATAGGTCTACGATGTGCAGGGCATTGGATAGGTTGATTTTATTAAATGGAAGTTCCCTCTTCCCTTCTTACAACCAAGAGTGAGTTAATTAAGTTTTAAAAGTCTAGTTTAAACAGTATGGAGCTGAAGGGAGTTCTCTAAGGGTTGGTTGATTAATATTTTTGATAATATTGTGTGCTATTATGAATTATAATTTTTCATTTTTTACGATTCGAGGGAAATTTAAAACAGAAACTTTTTTTATATCTTAGTTCATTTAAGTTTGCTATGATTTATTATGATTTTTAATTACGAATAGTTATCCACTTTGCCTGCCTTAAAGGAAGATAAATGCAATTAGCACAGTTTAATAAGATAATTTAATAAACGCATTTAGTATATTTTTGACATTTAGAGTATTCCATGATTAATAAGGATAATTCATTATGCAAAACAAGAAATCCTCCAACTTCGATTAACTTGGCTGTCTATTATTTCATATATACATGTTGTGTTGATGAATTTAGGAGTGATTAAGCTTATTTATTTCTTGGTAAAATAATCTTTATTAGACCAAAATGAATTAGCATTCAAGCCAAATGTTATTAGGATAAATCCATTTATCACCCAGATTGTAAGGTCCTTTTCAGGCCAATGCCTCGAACTTGGCGCAAAATTTCGTTTAAACCGAACCATATTCACATCACATTTATTTAAACAAAGAATGCAGAAAGATTTTTGTTTAAGCTGGAACCGAATTGGGCTTGATCCTATATAGACACTTTGTAAAACTACGTCCCACACAGTCTTTCTAGATATCACATCATGCAAAAACTTTGAACTCTTTTTGTATTCTTCCATTTTCCGACTTCCTTTCCATGTCTCTAAAAGGTCGCACACTGGAGCAGTAGATACATTCAGGCACTTGCTAATTCCCTCCATCATAAGCTTTTGACTTAATTATAAACCCAAAACTCGTACATTTTTCAGTTAAGACAAAATCATCGCCAATTTATAGAGAATTGTTAAAGTAGTTCAAGACTAGTCAAACCAACGAAGGCTGCATAGCTGAATAGCCTCATGACGATCAGCCAATATATTCGAGATTATCTTAGTCATTTCATTAACGAATGTTTAAGTAGATTTTCCAACTTTGAACCATAGGATTAATGTTCATATAACAAGAGGAGACTCAAGTTCCGAAGATGTCAATGTCAGGATCCTTTCTTACTGCCCAAACATAGCTAACGCGAGATAGAATGTGATATAGTCTGTGGCAGCATAATTTTAGTAATGGAAATTTTAATACAGTGGATAAGTAAAATTCAATCAAAGGTGTCGATAAAAACACTTTAAGATCTGGGAAATGGATCGTAGATACAACATTACAAATGAAATAAAATAATTAAACGAATCACTGTAAAAAATGCTAGGATCAGAGCCAATAAACAATTGATACGTTATTTTAAAGATACCCGTTCTTTGTTGTTCGCTTACGCAATTACTATATTAAACGTTCTAACAATTTTCATAAATATTTTATTTCTGTAAATGTATAAAATAATTCTTTCGGTACATTTATAAAATGATTTTTTAAGTCAAACAAAAGATGAAATATGTTCAACTCTCAGTTTTTAATTAGCACCTAGTAATTGCACGATTTACAATGTGGGAATGCAGTAAATATCGAAATGTTTTGAAATCAATTTAAAAAAGTTTTCCTCTTGTTTACTGTTCACTGTGTTCTTATTTTGTGCAATTTTCATTGAAAGGGTGATGAAAGCAGAAGACACTTTGCCTCCACGCAATCGGATCCACTTACAGTGCATAAATTTTCCATAACTAGACCAGTTTGTAACAACAATTGTTTCTTGTGCAACAGTTGTCCTATTTTATATATTGTACATCTATTTCCTATGCATATATCACCTTGCTGTAGGCCAAATGTAAAAAGAAAATCTTAGTTGTATCTTTATTGAGCAAGTGAACTATTTTAATGACTTTTGTAGCGGTTGCATTTCCGAAAATGACTAACCAGATGTATAAAAAAACCATCAAACGAGCCTTCCCATTATGTTCTTGTGAATTTTTCTGAAATAGTAGAGTAGCAGTTAAATGAGAATCTAACATAGGGGTGGTCTTATTAAGTATTGTGTTGTCTTGCCTGTAACATGCGAATATGCTTTGAAATTTTGGCTGGAATTAATTAAGTACCCTTGGAAGGCCATGTAGTAACTAGGTCTTATAGTGGCGATTAGAACAGCTGAGAAAGAGAGGACATTTGAATAGGCACAAAACTAGCTTTAATTAAGACATGTGAAAAAGCATTCACCAATCAGGTTATCGACAAGCGTGGTAAAGGACTGAGGAAGCATACTTCACAAAAAGACCCTGGAGGGAGCATGTACGCGGGAGAAGATGTCATGCTTGACAAGGTATATTCCATGAACAATTTACGAACAGACAGTCCAGAACAGTAAAGGGTCCTTTTGAGTAACCAATGAATACAGATAATGGAAGCATGAAGGCGAACATCGAAGTCTTGACCATTTTTCTCCATGTTCTATTTAGAACCGAATCTTGTTTATTTTAAAAAAGAGCTTTTGCACCTTGGTGCAAATAGAAATCCTCGTTCTACAATAGGAGTTTCAGTTTTTCACGAAAAGTTGGATCTACGATATTAGTTTGATATGCATTATAAAGCATTCAAGGAAATATTTATTGAGGATGGAAGGCAACTATTGGAAACAAATTTCGTAGTTCAGATGTATTTATATTCCAAATTGCTGTAAGGAGTTCTTTCTCCTTAACATTGATATATCTTAAGCTACCTGTAGGCGTTCTTTTGGGCCCAGGATTTTAAAGCAAAACTTACCATATATACCTATTTTCGAGAGCAAAGGTTCGCGTGCATTTGTGTTTCATTAATCTGCCATTTCAATACCTGGTTTAAGGTGGCATACACTCGAAACGACAGCACTTAAAATAATGCATGTTGTGATCGTTCCAGGCTTCAAATATAAAGGGGTATTTTTGTTGAAATCTAGCTTAGTGTCCATTTATTTATTTTCCTAAGTTAGCAAGATGATAAGTGGCTGATTGTTGATAATAATATTTTTAATTTTAAATGCCTACCGCGTTTCATCTCTTCGCAGTGTTACTGTAATCGTTCAACTCTTCTAGCTTTTAAGCCTCCTGCCATGCTTAACTTCCGTTTTTTAATTTTTATGGGTTCATTATGGCAAGATTAAAATCGAAGCAAATTATTTTGCCTTTCAAAGAGAATTCCGAATTCATTTTTTAATATATTTTAATAACTAATTGATTCGTGGTAGTTGGCTTGTAATGAATTAGCGCGGAACAATAATGGTTGCTTATGGTAGACAGCGCTCTTCGCTTTTGGAATACTTAAATTTCCTTTCATCGTAAAAGTCAGCCTACTAATTCACGTAGGCTGTTCCCATCCCAATTAATCCGAAGTCCCAAGTTGGCCCAATTTCAGTACGGACGACTTTCATCTGGGGCACATCTTGGGTGTCTCTTCGCCGAAATATTTCATACCTTATAGTAGCGTTCTGCTATTGATCAAAATTCCAGTGAACTCGGACTACCAATCATATTGCCTGATAATAGTCAATGGAATTTTGATGTATCAATAGAAATGGCTACATTGTGTTAACCTACAATCGAAACAGACTGTTACTCTCATTGAACTTCAATTGTATTGATTGGTATATATGGTGGACTTGGAAAATCGTGTTTTACATCAAGTGGGCAATTGGCATTGGTGGTTTTAGCAGTTACTGGATTGGGCTGTCTCATCATCACAGTTTTAAATTTGTTGCTCATTTCTTCGTTGGGATGTTTTTTTTAAATGGTTAGCCTAACTTTACACTGCAGCTAATAGAGTAACTGAATTAAGAAAGATATTTTGTGGCATTTTAAATGTTTCCCCCTTCTCAAATCTGACATAAAAGCAGAAATGCTTACTTTCTGCGTCAATTAGAATTTTCATATCCTATTAAAGTAAATTGAAAAATATTTTTTGGCAAAATGTTTGCCTACAGAAACTTTTGCTTAAATTTCAAACCCAACTTAAAAGTTAATTTCTCACATCACAATTTCTGAGCCAAAATGCCACTAAACAACTTCAGGGGATGAGAGTGAATGCGAATTCTCTTTCCCCTAGGTCTCGTTAGACGGCCATTTGGAAACACATTAATTAACTAAGAGGAGATGGCGTTTCAACTGATGGCAATCAAATCATGATCCTGCCAGTACACATGAGTAATTCATTAGTATTGATAGCTATATTCAAGCGAGAGATGATCTTTATCACCAATTTGGACTGCTTTCAATGAACCCATTATTCTATCCATTCTATGAAAATAAGGCTGAAGACCTCTAATTAAAAAAGACGATCTTTATCACCTCAATTTGCCCACTGGTTAGAATATATTTGAATCAACAGTGTGATTGCATATTCAAGCAAATTCGTTGAAACTAACAGACGATGAAATGTGTGATGTTGTGTTCGTTATGTAATCAAGTAGGTTTTTTAGATCCGAAAGTATTTTTTTTCTGAAAAATAGTGCTTGACTAAGCATTAGAAATCATTACCCCCCAGAAAGGTGATTTTAAACATTCAATGGGTGATGAATATATGCCATGAAGACATAGTCGCATATGCTAACATAATGATTCATCAGACAGAACAGATTTAAGAAATCCTTTTTACTTCAGAGTTAACAAAACGTGTGAATTGATGATCAACCTTGATTTCTTCTCTGTAGCTTCAACAGATTGGTAGTGGTTCGGATCCTCAAACAAGCAACCGTCAACCCCGTTCTTTCTCACTTAGCGGTGAAATTACTACAGTAGATGGTCACAGTCGATCACTATCACCTGCACCTCTGTCGCAGACACCTGGTCCCAGAATGTCCACTGACCCCAGACGGACGTCCTCGAACTTTGGAAGCGATGGATTTATTTCTCGTTCGCCAACAACTTCTCCACAGGCTTTAGACAACGAAATTGATACACTCTTGGAAGATCTCACCACCACTTGCTTGCAACAAGGTCGCGGAGACCACCTGATTCGAGTTGGTGCAAGGGGTTCAAATCACCATTTTCCACAGAAGTTCTCCACATCCTCTCGACCTAGATTTGACCGAGTTGATGGAAATAATCCAAGTGGAGGCAGAGGTCGAGAAGTATGCCTTCCTGAACTCGCAGCTTACATGAAGGTCTGCAAGCCTAGAGCGTTTGGAATAAAAACCTACAGGAGATTTTATGTGGTTCTCAAGAAGACTTCAATTCTGATGTTTAAGGTGAGTTTACTTTGTAAATTTGGTATTACAAATTAAAGGCAGATCATCACATTTTTGCCCCATTCAAGGTTTCAATTCGAAAGTCATAATTTTTCATAGATTCATTGTTAATCACTCTGTTTTTTAGCGATTCACACTTGACGTCATGTTGAAATCCATTAGGCTTCTTTTAATTGCACCTTTCTATTGTTTATACAGAGAGCAGCAGTCTGACTGATGCTTCTGATGCTGCCTTCTTCCCATGGCCTGGCCTACAACCCCCTTCACTTTTACATTCGCATAGTCTAAATGAATATAAACTAACCATAGCATATTTTGGATATCGTTCCACATTAAAATTAACAAGTAATACTTAATTATGCATGCTTTTAACACTACGCCTCTGGTGAGTTGCCTTGATTGTGTTAAAATGGGAAAATCTTGAAATATGTTATGGAATTTGTCTAAGTCAATATGTACCGACATTTTACAACTTTTTTTGCCAAGGGATATCACCTGAATGCGTGAAGTAACTAAATTTTTTTAACCATGATCTGGAAGTGTTATGTTCTTTGCTTTCCATGAAGGGTTTATGATTCACCTTTTAATATCCCTTTTTTATTATTTTTTGCGCTTTGGTTGAATGTCTGGATATGATTCATTCACATGTTCTTAATTATATGCTTAAATCGATATGATGAGCAATAAAATTTAAAACAGACTTGCTAAAATGTGAATGAAGTAATAATAATTGTATAACTCTCACCTGAGGGAAATTTTACTTTATAAATAGAACGATAAACCATGTGGAATTTATTGTACAACAGGATGTGAACGTCACTGGAATGTAAACAAATTGAGTGGTTACATCGAATGAGTAACCCTGTTGGTGTGTGGTCAAGATAAAATCTAGAAGAGCATGAGTATGAGAGTAGCTTCAGGAGCTCAAGACTGCAGGAAAAACCAATAGAATTGAAAGGAACCAAGCTCCTCCGTCTTCCCAAAAGCAAGGTGTTGAAACCGTTAAGTAATGTGTCCTTTGCACATCAATAGTATTTATTTTAAAATAAATAAATTGTTGAGAGGTTTATTTCTTGTAATTTTGATAATAACTGACATTAATTTACTGTAAATTTAAATCTATTTTACTATACCTTGGTGAAATTATAACAATAAAGAATGAATGTACAATATTCTTTAAAAATTTCAGGTTTTGTAGTCGAAAAAAAATTAGCTTTAGGTTTCAAGATCACGCCACCATTTAACCCCTGTGATCAACATTTATAGAATTACAAGCAAACCGTTTAAAACACTTTTCCCAGGTGACTTGAGTGGATGAGTTGGAAAGACAAATGTATTATTAGGCGGTTATCGGAATTTAATTTGATTTTAATCCAATTTGTCCCATTTTATTAAAATCATATATGCGCACATCATGGAAATTTACGAAGAACTTATTGAAAGGACTTACTAAACTCCAAACTGACTAACCGATTCTGAGCTCCCCGGACTGAGACAAGTCTGGAATTGCAGCAGTACACCAAAAGAGGATGCAACTTGAACCGTGGGTTCATACTAGCACATACTAGCTCTTTTGATTGCTCTCGAACTATTTATTATTAATATATTTGCCTATTTTCACCTTTCACTTCATTGATTCTGCAAGCCTTATAGTAAAGTTGTTCTAGCCTACCAAACTATTCCAATTCTTAGGTTGGTGCAATGTTAAAGTCTTCCATATTTTTTGGGGGACGGGGGGAGGGATTAGTCATTTATATCAGTGATAAGTTGAAATGTCTACAATTTTTTCTTTCAAAATTTTTTATTGCTGCAAATTGATAGCGTAGTATTACAACTCAAATAAGAAAATTTGTTAGTGCACTATAGAAGGCGTCTGCTCAAACTTTCAGTCTCGTAAGAAATAATTTTTCTAAATCCATTCTTCATTATTTCCTAAAAAAATTTAATTGAATTTCTTAATATTTGCGTACTGTACAGTATAGCTTATCAACAAACAAGTTATAATTTCAATGTTTGTCGTGAAGTCGAAATTTTTCATTGTCTAGGAAATAAACGAATGAGAGTTTTAATTCTTTGTGAATATTTATGGGCTATCGATTAACAAATATTTCACATCTGTTACTTCAAATGGTTGTAGGTTTATTCCTCTAAAAAATTCAAGAAGAAAGTCAATACTCCTCCCTAGAAGGTTATTTTGCTCATTTGTTTATCTCACAAAGTTTTACTTCGTAAAATGCCTTTAAAAAATGTAATTAGATTGCCATTTGCACTTGTGAAGCCTTGAGGTATCACTCATTATGTTTTCTGCACTCATTCTTTTTGATAACTTTCCCATACCCGGTTTTATATTTAGGTTAAAGAGTCGGAGAGATCTCCATTCTGTTAACGAGCGTTTTATTAAATCAATGCGATGAAGAGCCTCAGGAACCCGAGGCCTTTTCTTTATTAATTCCAAAAAGGCATGCTCACTTACTTGCCCGTCTTCTAACTATGAACTCACTGGGGGTTGCTATTTAGTTGGTGTGTGATAGAAGTTCAATCATTTCGAGTATTAGGATAAAGAGGTGAATATTTTGGACATCCTTATCGAGCGATTGAAATGTTAAAGCGGACAACATAAGAGTCTATTAACGGTTACTTAGATTCCAGTTATTCATGTGAGTGTTATGAATTGTTATCATTTTGTTACAATTTTAGTACTCAATAAGGTCTCAGCTACTGAAATCATAGCCCCTTATTTGGTTAGATATAATTATCATTTCAAGAAATAGAAATGTTGTGCCATTTTTGTTTTAAATTAACGAAATCATGATAAGCTCTACGGATTAATATCGAAATTTAATAGGTTATGGAAGTTTTTTGTCAATGCCTATTAACAAATAGAGAAAGAGAATTTTTATTTTTGTCATTTTATCCTTAAAATTTTGGGAATCGCTTGAAGTCATTGTGACCTGTACAATCAGACGCTTGAATGAGATCTGAAACACAAATCTGGATTAAATTGTATTTTCTTTTGTATGATTAAATTCCTTTCACTTGTCAATTGAGATTTCTCTCTCGATCCCCATTCCTTTTGGCTAAATCTGCGTATTAACGAAAATACTTTTAGACAGTGAGACCTTTGCTCTTGGATATTAGTTCTATAGATCTGCTTCCTACATTCATTAAAAGCCACCAAATAAACCGAGCTTGATTGCCCTATTGTTTAGCAGTTATTACCAACTTACTGTCAGGTAGTGTGCTGAATAAAACTCAAGTGGATTGAACTAGATTAGACTATTTATATATCATTCGCGTATTTTGATAATTGATAAAGAGCGAAATACACTCGATTGTGAGCTAAAGTGTGTAACGGCTACTTAAAGTACAGGCTAATTAAACCTTGGCATTTCGCCAAGACAAAAGCAAAGCAGAAAATGATCGAGTAGATTACCACTGGTTATCCTTTGCAAAGCAAAGAAAATAGACATCGCCAATTTTTGCGATCGGAGAACAGAGTTACGTTTCCTCGTGTTCCAAATTCCGAATTTCAGAATTTGCTCCCAGTTTTCTACAAGGATTGATATTTGGATAATTGAGAACACTCAATTCAATTGGATACATTAATCGTAACGTATCAATGTCCAAATGAATTGCAACAAATTTATATTATCATAGATTCCCCCATGTTTATATGTGAGATGGGTTCTCAATTTATAATCACATCGAAAATCAACATAAAAAGGTGATATTTAGTTGGGAAATACAATTTTCTTGCAGATTAGAGAGTAGTAGTTGAGCAAATGTTGATTAATGGACTCTTGCTAGGCTCTTCCACAAGAAAATGATTCGTATAACTTATCAAATAACCAAAAGGATTCGCTTGAATTTACAATTATTTTATATTTTTAAGGGAAAAATCCCTAAATAATGATATTTTATTACCTACTTTAGAAGCGCTTGGACCGCTAAATGCTATGTTGCATCAAAATAAATTTTAGTTTAAGCTAGGTAGCTATTTAGGGAATATGGAAATATGTTTCCCACTTGATTTTTTTATTTTTTTACGTCGCCATGCTTTTATTCCATACGTCCTAATGACTTATATTATTCCGAGAGATAAATGCAGAATAAATTTTATTCAATTGGTGGTCTCGTTTGCAACTCCTTGCATATTGGCGTTTGTCTTATTCTAGTAAAGAGGCAGTTATTATACCTTCTCAGCACACGACATATTCCCAAACTTAAATAATGTTTTTTTTCTACAGATTTAGCAATGAGTAAACTAATAATCTTTCTGTCATAGCAAGTCTCTAAATATATATTAAACACACCTTTGTTAATGCTTGGTTAAAAATAAGAACTTTTATTTTAGAATTACATCTTGTTTTTGCTTAGATTGACGGAGTTTTAAAGTTATATTTAACATCACTATTTAGAAATTCAGCCAAGGCACTTGTTCTTAAATACCCCTCCAATGAAGAAATATTAATGTTGTTGTAACTTGCCTTAAGGTGAAAGAAAAATAAATTCTTGTTTTAATTAGAGATGATTGGATTAAATAACCACCCAAACATAAAATAGAAGATGGCAGTAAAAACGTTAGTTGAATTTATAACTGAATTTCAACGAATTGCATAAAAGCAAAACGATTGTGACGAACCGCCTTCAGAATACCGTTATCGCTCGTGGAAAAAAGTTTAGCGGCCAGGCGCTTGAATTAGTATAACGAAGAACGGACTTTCAAGACGAAGAAATTGGTGAGAAAATCTAAAATATGTGGTTTCTGGTTAAGTGTCGCTCATAAATGACCTCATGATGTCACCACCCTACTAGAGAAACATAACGAGAATCGAAGCAGCTTTTCTAAATGGTCTTGGTGGTTATTTGGGGAACAGCCATTTAAAATGTTCTTTAATATGTGTAAATTGAAATTATATTTCATGTTTTAGGAGTAATCTTTAAGTATTACAAGTTCAAGTTCAAATTAAGCATTTACGATTAATAATTGATGGGGCTTTCTTTTCCAAAAGAAAAGTACATTTAATGTCGCTAATCTATTAAGGGGATATTTATTTTTTTTAATTTAAGGCATAATTATTACTAATTCTCATTTAGTTTGGTATTATCATTTAATATTTCTGAGATGGATTTCTTGCTTAGTTGGAATATTTCAGCCAGAGAGTTGGAAAAACTTAAATCTGTTTACTTTGTAAATTAAAAAAACATTTTATCAGCTTTCTTTAAGCAGTTGATTTCAGGTAAATTTAATATAATTTTATCTATTTTTATTTAAGTAATTGAAATTAATCAATCATATATAAATATATGAGAGTTCTTAAAAATTCTTCCACTCTCCAGTGGGTTTTATCATGAAAACTCAATTTATACAATTTGTTCATCACTGTAGACTTCCAGAAAAGATATGTGACTTCAAAATGTTTTGCCAAGTTACTGGACTTTGATGCCAACTATTCAAGCACAACAGTTCAATAGCCAGGATAAGGGCTCAATCAAGGTGGTACAAATTTTCTATCACCTTCTATGAGATAAAACCTAGTTTGAAATGTCAAAGTGTTTTGATCTGATCTGATCTCCTAACAACATGATTGTTCCAGATTATTGAAGCTTTTTGATTGGTTGATTTGATTAAATTATTGATGTCACCACTCTGAGTAATTTGTATCAGATTTTAGATATTAATGGAAATCTAAATATAGATTTCCGCATAATTGGAGAACATAGCGAAATTACTATAGGCTTTTTCAATAATATTTATTATCTTTATCAAAAGGCAGTCGGATATTATCTAACGAAATTTTGAATATATTTTGGGGTAACATTTTGGCAAATGAAATAAAAGAGGTTCGAATAAATTACTGCGCACCTGTTCGGAGACCCTATTTCCTCCCAAAATCGTTTTTTCCTTTCGGATCTACAATTGAGAGCAAATGGAAAAGATTTCATTTCCTATAAAACCGGGTGTTCTTAGCTTTAATTTATCATGACGGTATTCGATTTCTAGATAGCTGCACTTTCGACCTTAAGGAAAACGCACAAAAAAGATTTATTAAGATCTTGACCTCGTTATGACACTATCTGATGAGGCTAGGTAATGCCAAAATTCTCAACCACATATATCCCATTTTGAAATGCTAACAAGCACATATGTTCAAGCTATGATAATTGAAATGAAGTGAGAATTTTCATTTAACTCCTGTTAGAATATGAGAATTCCCAACTTTTGATTCTGGGAAGAAGATGTTATAAGCAGTTTTTCCAAAGGCAAAAAGCTAAAGATCACATAACCATTAAGAGTGTATTCTTGGCTCATTGGGAAAATATTTTGCTTTTATGGGGCTTAGAAAACTCGATTTACTTGTAATTGAACAATTATTAAATACGGCACATAAAGTTCATGCTTGAATATCTACAAAACGGGTGATAATTACAGTATTGACATTACTTCAGTAAGCTATCCTCCGGCATTGTGGAAAAGCACGTTGTTGTTGATGCTATGAGATTTAATATCATGAAGGACAGCGGCACTTGCAATGGTCATCCAAATTATAAGTTCGAAACTTTTCCAGAGATATGCATAGATCTAAGGTGACAATGAAAATTGAATAAATTTGTTTAATTTCGCCTCATTCTTCATCAGTTGTTCCAATATCATTTCCATTTATTCGCTGGAATTCTTCTTATGATTTTCATTTCGCTGTCTGGATATCTTCAAGCTATTTTAGATTCCTTCACCCGAGTCAGAGGATTTTGGGTGGATGGGGGGGGGGTCTGCTTAATTAGTTTCAAATCGTCAAGTTGAAAGTGACTCAGTAGAGTCAAGTCTGGTTGATTTATTACGATGCATTTTACAGTACTTTTTTGATCTCATGACAAAATTTAAAGCTGCGTTCAGAGTACAAGTTCAATACTTAACCAGAAACGTTTCAGTCCATATGGTTTGTCTGCTTAGCAATGGACAGATCGTAGTTCTTCATGTTTTTCTTGAGATCGAAGTGATATAGGTTGCTGTGTCCAGTTACAACTTAACTTTCCTATCATTAGTCACCAATGGTACATCAAGTCACCTATTAGAACTTTTGAACTTAAGTCTGAATGTTTGAAAATGAGTTAACATTTTTAGCTCAGAATTACACCCATAGTTCTTGTTATTTTATAGATCGCCTTAACTAAAATTCTAAGTCTTTATTGGCACATTAGTTCATGGCTAATTTCTTATCATGAAAGCATCAAAGGAGCCGACATGCTAAGCCATGATTAACATTTTCTCAGCTAAGATTTAACTGCTCATACAAACCAAATTACTTTTTATTTTCATAAAAAAGGGTTGACACAGTTGCAAGACCTTTAAGCAGTATAGCTGGTCAAGTTTAGAAAGTATTAATAAGGTGGTTGACGGTGAGTTGGATAGCTGATTTACTTGCATGGTAAATCAAGTTTATTCGTGACTTTTTCTCCAGTGCTTGCAAAGATAATCTTCTTGTTTGTTTGGGGCACAGGCTGTGTCTTTGATAAGCTATTTTTCAATTTGGTTAAAGTTAAAATTGAAATCATGTGTTTGTGATGCTTAAAAAAGCATTTTTTACGAAACTAAAGTAAAATAATTTTATGGCATAAGTCTTAATATTCAGCAAGAAGAAGTGGAGGCAGTAGTGAAGTTCCAGAGCCATAGGCGACAATTTTGTTTCTATTCAAGTTCTCACGCTAATCGTCACATTTCATGGTTATATGCGCATGAAAAATAATCGAATGAAATGATTTCAGAGTCACCCATTTCACAACTCTCGTTACACCCATCTACTGGAAAAAAATAATCTTACCAGTTAATGTTTTCCGTGATCGATCTGCCAGTTCCTTCAAACCTTTCATTTGTCGAGCCGACGATAGGGAAAGTCAACAAACATAGTTTCCTTATGCGCAGATTTTTGGGAGAAAATGCAATTATCTTTAGGGTTAACTGGTGTGTCTATTTTAGATATCGCTCGTCATCTAATTACTCGCAATTACACTAATCATAGTTAACAATTGCTTATGAGTTGCAATCTAATCATATTAATTGTACTAAGACGTGTCTAGGGGGTTCCTCGTTTCTCCTTTTAGGCATTGTGCTTGCAATAGGGATTTCCTATCGAACTATTCACCATTATAGGAGAAAGTAGTACTATACTATAAATTTTTTAAAGCATTCTTGAGTTAACCTTCTAGCCTGCATTCATGTTAAATTTTTATTTTGTTTTATTTTATGCATTGGTATTTTTATAAAATAAAAGATGATCAAATTTAAGATATTTACTATTTGAGGTTAATCAATACCTACGTGAACTAGAATTACTATTTATTTACTTCTCTAAAATGCAGTCTCAAGAAGAATATCAAGCCACCCACCCACCTGTCGACTCAATTTGCGTACTCGGCTGCGAATCGTGGCCTGATCTCAGCCCAACCTCAGACCGCTACGCCATCCGCATCTTCACACCCCTTTTACGGCAAGCCTTGCCTCTTGCCAGTGCCCTTCGAGCTGACAGTTGTGCAACCCTTCCCTCAGAAGATTCAAATACTCTTACAAATCGCCTTAAACGACGAGCTTCTCTTCTTTCACTCACTTCCCTTGGTGGTCTTAGCGCAGTCTGTGGACGAGTGGTTTCTCGAGCAAGCGGTCTTCTCAACGAGCTCATTCTGCGTTTGCCTGATGAATCCCACTATGTGGAGTGGTTTGCTGCGATTCGATTAGCTGGTAGTCTCTCTGTTGGATGTGGTGGAGCTGCAACTCCAGAAACAATCACACGCTTATTTGAAGCGGAGAAGAGGGCTACGACTAGTCTGCTTCAATTACTTTCACCACTTCCAGTAAAGGTGCCATCGTTAAAAGCAGATATGGTAGATGATGGATTAGGAATGGCCGACAGATTGTGGCTACAAAAAAATTTTTCAGTCCTTCTGCCCTATAGATTAGCTGGAGAAGGGGGTTTAGCGCAGTCGAAATCTACAGATTCTAACGCTTCATCAAGTGGTTCGGTATTATCGCTCAAAGAAGAGGTTAGTCTCCTATGCTGACGCATTTATTACATCAGAATCCAACTAAACTAAATTCTACCACAACTAAAAATTTATAGGCTAACGAGCGATTCATTCGGCACATTATTGACATCAGAGGTCGATTACCAGCAATGTCGGCTACTGAAGTCAAGCTCCAGTATATTGGTCATTGGCAGCAACTAACTGGTAATGGGGTTATCTACTTCATTGCGCGATTTGAGACTAGTGTCCCTGTTGCCTCAGCCCTTGGTTTACCACTGGATACTCCCGATCAAGCCTTCCGAACGCTTTCGTCGCACTCTTCACACGTTCATCCGACATCACGACAGGTCACTATCTCGGTTAGTAGGCGAGATGAAGTAGTTGGCATAGGAAATGGACGAGTTGCAAGACATGACCCTAGCACTGGTAATTTCCAACTGCTGATGCAATCTATTTATTTGAATTCAGTAGAATTAAAACTATTATGTTTCAGGCGAAATTCATGCAGCCTGGCGACTTGAGATGATTCAGGGCTGGAATGTGAACCGAGAGCTGAATGAACTGGTTCTCATGTTGGCTCCTACAACTAATACAACAGCCGGAAATTCCGCTCTCGAGAATGGGAACAAAATCCCAAAATTAGAGAAATCTCTAAGGAAACAAGGACCTTCGTTAGCTTCCAGTGGTCGTGTTGTAATACGACCCATCGGAGTACCAGTTCAAAAGGTCGGTGAAGTTCTCGGTGCTAATGTCTTTCTTAGCCTCCGTTCCCCCACAAAGAGCCAGGAGTTGGATGAGAGCATGTTCTATCGCCTCATTGGTGCATCTCCCAACAAAAGCCTCTATGCTACTGCCCTAAATATCCAAAGTGCTTCTGCAGCTAGATGAAATAACACTTAACCACATCCCACTTATTCTTTATTTAATTTATTCTTACTACTTCACTTTCATTTCCCACCCGTGTTTGCTATGATCTCTCATTGGCATGCGTCTACTAAGTGAATATTTGGATCCCGCTATCAATTCGATAACTGAATTTTCGAGTACCTTTTCTCATCTTTTGCTTCTCCGTGCCCTTTATTTTGCTTGTACAGACCTTTTCACACAGTATAAATCTCATGTGACTCTGAAAATGTTCATTATTTTTTCCCTGTTTAAATAGTGAGCTTTAATTTGTTTGTTTGCTTCTCCTTTTTTCATTTGGTCTCTATCTATACCACCTTCTCATTTTCTTTCAGAGTGTGGCAACCTTGTTTTGAATATATGTATATTGCAAACGGGTCTTTTTATTCCCATTGATTTTACATAATGTTGTTTGGAAGATGACAGTGATCTAAGAATTATCATGCCAAATTTAAAAACATTTGTAAATCAGTTGCTATGCCAAGCATGAATGTTCTACCCACCAGGAAATAAGGAGGGTAAGAAAACAGTAAAACACATTAACCCAAGTACTAGTTCGAATCGCGCGAGCTTATCTACAAGTAAGAACTCCTAAGAGCCATTCAAATGTGAAGAAATCCATCTTAAGTTATAAAGTAAGTGTTTTAATGCCCTCTATTCGAATATATTCAGGAACAAATCAATGCCCTTGTATTATTTATCGGATCACTATTTTACAAACCATCCAGTAACGATCGACTTAAAATGCCAAATTTTGGGACACTTCAAGTCATAAACACATCGTATCAGGATTACATTCTCAATCTTGATGGTAAGTATGATGCTTTCATCCAAAAGACGCCTTGAGGCTTTGTTTGGTGCAGATGGCTGAATTTATTTATTCCAAAATAACGAAAGATAATAACTGGGCTTTGGACAAATAAATGTCCCATTGCTCATGAAGTCATTCCATATATGTAATGAACGAAAAATTACTATCGTTATGCAATTGCATTCACATGAGGAAGTTTGTCCGTAAAGATGAAATATTGGTGGGAAGGTGTAGGTGGAGGTGTGAATCATGCACACGATTGCGTACATAGTAAACTTGTTCAAGATTATTATATGAAACTCAATTAGAGATAATGCAGGTACGGAAAGATATTACTAGGATTACCTAGGATTAAGCAAAGTGTGAAATGCTGATAATATATGCTAAACTATGCTTCTAATGTTGTGTATTTTTACCAATAAAGACAAGAGCTCAGAAAGAGGGAAAAACTCACCAAGTTATTTACTGGTATGTTAATGTCATATTGTGCAGCTGACAACTATCTGTTAGTAAGTGGGCGTACAATTATCCATGATATAAATGAACTCAAGGAAACTTACAAAATTAATTTCTCCAAATTCAAATCGTTACTAATTTTAGAGTCCTTATTTAGTAATCACATATTCAGATCTAAACTGAAATGGGGCCGACATTAACCAGATTGCATCTAAGCCGCAAACAACCACAATTGTCATTTTTCAAGTTAACCAATTAAATTATCTCAAATACTGGACTTCCTTTCAGATCTGAGAATCATGATAAATTCGAACCTTTATTTCACAAATCAGGGTGCGCAATAGACTTACCTCCACATGGTGCACCCTGGGCAACGTATACTTATGCGGCAAAGTCTATTGATTGGCAGTTGACTTCTGACTTCAAACTTCTGTGGCCCGACTATTTGTCATATTCGATCCCTTTCACAGTACTCATTTTACCTTTTCATGCCTTTGTGTCTGTCTGTCTGTCTCTTTTACATCTCTGAATCATTATTCTGTCTCCCCTCTCGACTTTTTGCCACTTTGATGTTCTTCCTCTCTGTGAAGCCCGAAGTCAGCTCCAGGGCTAATGGTAACTTTCAAAACGCCTGCCATTTGATATAAATAAATAAATATTTCACAAATCAGCTTTTCAATACATTCTCCATCATGCTTATTATTTTTGCATATTTTTTCTCACTTCATGATTGAGTTTTATTCTATTGATCTTCTGTCTTCTATATATTTTTTCTCTTATCATCCTCATATCCAATTAACAACATATGTTATCACTTATTGTGAAATGTGTTTATATTAACTTAATATATTAATATTGTTAAAAACGTCCTGCCAAACAATTTTATTCGATAGCAAAATTGTCAAGAAAGTTTTGAAACTGAGAAGCGAATAAACGTATTTATTTTTTGAGTCATGCTTTCATATACTTTCTGAAGCATTGAGTTAAGTAACCTCTTATGAATGAACTAATTCCCTTCGAAAATCGCTAATGTTTTATAGCATTAATTGTGTGAGCCCACTTTTGTTATATTCGGAGTTCATTGAATAGCTGCTTTAGCCGGTTGGTATGTCTTACCACTTGATTCCATCGCAATTATGAGTAGGTATATGAGATCAGAGGAGAATTATATCCCCAAGAGAGCTCAGAAGTTTTGATAGTTTCTAAACCACCATTTGTTTTAAAATACCAGCATAACTGATAATATCATCTCATTGAAATGACCGTACAGTGTGACAGAGTTTCTTGTCGTTCAATATTGATGAAATTAACTTTTATCGTTATTTAATTATCAAGGCATATCTGATAATCTTGATTTACTATTTAAACAGAAAGTTAGCTTCAGGTCGTACGCCAAAATTCAGTTGTGATAGCACTCTTAACAGGTTTGATTTATACTGTAAACGTTACAAATATTTTCCTTGCTAATTAATTTATTTAATTAATACATTGATTTGCATTAATTGATATGAACAGACTGAGCATTATTTAGATTAGCTGATCTACATTAGAGACTGATTTGCTGCAATTGCATTTAACAAAATTCAAAATGAACTTATTTGACTTGTTAAATAAAAGACTTTCAAACCTTTTATAATTTAATTAATTTTGTTCTTCTCAAAATAAAGCAAATTTTTGTATACTTAGCATTATTTTGCTTTGCTAGGGTCTACTATGCAATCAAATAGCAAACAAGAAACGAATTCAGAAAAAGGTTTCTACTTCCTTAATACACCTTGAAGATCGAATCCTTGCTCCAGGGTTATAATTTTTTGCCTTTCGTAGAATCACGTTCTCGTGCCTGTCATGCTAACCGCAAGAATACTCAGGACAAAGGTAATTTTCTAACTGTTGCTAAATGGTTTCAGTAACATAGGTAAATAATTTTGAAATATACCTACACACTCTCTAAACTATACGAAGTTATTTCTTGCCAACATTTATAGTTTCATTGTAAATTAAATTTCTTAAAATTTAGTTACGCAGACAACTCCTCAAATATTTCAAGATGAAAAATCCACAAATATTCCATTACAAGGTAAGTCATGTTTCGTAATTAACTCTTGGTTGATATCATGAAAAAATAGGAGTTAGATAAAGGGATCAGGAATAGTTAATATTGTAATGAGGTTGCGTCCTTGAAATGGAAGAGATTTAAGTTATTGGTGTATTTTGCAACTTGGGCCTCACTGGCTAGAGATAATAAAAAGTTAATGTGTGAAGTCAGTGTGGCGTTGGCGTTTTTTCCAAGTGTTGAGAACTTAAGTCAGCTCTTATTTTTTTATGGCACATTTAAGTAGCAATTTTTCTTTCTATGAGAAGTTAAGAGCGATAGTTTTGAAAGTGCCAATTTAAAGAATTGGTTTGGGTCAAATTAATATTTGTACCTAAAACAATACAAATAAAAACCCAAAAAGATAATAAGAAATTTTAGAATGCGAAACTGATGTTGGAAAAAATATTGGCTGACGTCTATCCTTTTCATATCAACAGATTAGTAATTTTCATTTTGGCTGAATCGAATTACCATGGATATTGAGTTTGACCATTTACTCTCGTTTCATGCACCATTGCACAATAGTTATAAAAAATCAAATTCCACGTCCGTTTGTATTGATTTTGTAAATAACCTTTAAAGAATTTTCGGGAATGAAAGTCAATAAAATCATCCTGAAAGATTTTAATCAGCACTGCATTAAAATTAATCGTTTTTAATCTATAAAACAAAGAGTTAAAAGGCAGTTAAATGAACATTTCTTTATGGCATTATCTCCGTTATTTTCTTATCGATTTTACCAATTTATTGACTTAATGGATTAGTTGGATTGGATGACTCATTTTTCTATCTTTAAGCAGTTTATCGATTTACTTCTCTACTGTACTCTACTTACGAACTTTACTCCCGCACAATTCTATTGCCTAATGCCATTTATTTCATGAATTAAATGTGTCGATCCAAAATTTTAAGCAATTAAACAGAACATTAGACTAGGCAGCCGTCTTTGTATTTTCCCAACACCTATACAGAAGCCCATCTAATTAAAATAAATTAACTTCTTTATCAGAATTTTTTATTGTTTTGGATATAAAGTAATAATTGCGATTGAAAAATTGTGTATTATTGTCAACGCTAAAACGCCGTTAAATACAGTAAATTGAAAATATTTCAGAACAGCGAGCTACTGCATCAAACGAACAGTCCCCCAATGGTGCTGAGAGTAAGTTTAAATGCACTTGATTTTAAGCAGTCTTTAAAATAGACTTTCTACTTCAGTTTACATTATATTTTACATTTATTACCATAAAATAAGCGCAATAATTCCATTAAAAATTGAGCTGAATGAGAAACGAAATTATTAACTTTCAAAAGAAGACTTCGAGTTGTGTTAAAACTTTACCCTTATCCTGTGCCCCACGAACGTGACCCTTTTAAGATTTTATACATTCGGGTTAAGGGCAAAATAAATATAAACTTTAATCGGTCACTAATTTTTATAAGAATAAAAAATTTGTCATTGAGATTAGTTATATTTTATGATATTTCGCCATTTTTGGAAAAAATAATGATAATCAGATACTATTTCAGTAGAAAGTGTTTTTAAAACAAGACAGATAGAATGAGAGAGCAAATCTTACCGTAAGATCAAGAAAGTTGAGCCGGTAAACATTTAAGAGAGCA